AGAGCCAAAAAGGGTCAAATGGCAAAACGTTAAAAAAGGAAACTGAGCAAAGGAAAAGAATGTAAAATTTACACTGGGATGAAGGACTTTCCTCCGCTCCCACTTCTCCGATTGTAGAAAACTTGTCAAAATGGAATGTAGTTTCGAATACTTGCCACTAGCGTCAATAGAACAGAGAACCTAAAAAGAATAAAGCCCACGTTTCAAAAAAATAAAAGAAGAATTAAGCGATTATCCCGCGCATGATATGAACAGCACTACTACTTACAATGCATTCATCCCCGTGGCTCCCAACAACCTCAATGCTTGTCATTCCTGTCAACGTTTTATCAGTATCAGACTCCAACATCTAATGACGTCTTCAAATGAGACTCGAAATCCTCAGTCCTACTTCATACTACCATGATGCAGCTCACATACTTTTGTTCAATATAGATCGGAATGAATCTCTGAGAATTAAGGTGGAAGTGGAAGGCACACTCAAATGAAACCTTACTTTGAGATATTCGTCCAACTCTAAGCGTCGTTTCTCAATGAATTCTGGACTGATATTGCTGAAGGATTTCTTACTAGGCAACTTCAAAGACGGTATCCTTCCACACTGCAGAGGAAAAATTGAGCAGTAGCAAAGCGAAGTACCAGAAAAGGGATATGGATAAATAATTGCGTCAAAATCGACAACCCACTTGTTCTACTATGCATGAGTGTAAGTCGTCAAATTGACTGTAACGACGATAGGTCCTCCACACGGATTTACGACCGGAGAGAGCGGATAGGTAGGTTACTTCCAAGGTGTAGACAACGTACCCATCACGAACCATCTCTATAGAATAATAAATGATTTTGAAGGCAGAAAAATCACATGCCTTTTAATGATTTCGATAAAAACCAAAACCTACAAACGTTTGCAACTCAATGGCATATGCCCAACCTCTTGCGGATCTTCCGAGCAATGTAGACGCCTTAATTAGTAGATCGGTCACAACAGAAGAAAATCGCTATGTTTATTTGATTCTATAGTAGACCGTGCATTAAAAACAAATTTCTGCATTTTTACCCCTTACAAAACGAGAACTGAGTTTCTACAAAGCTTCGCTTCAAGTAAACATCCTTGCACCAACCATTTGGAAGGTTCAGCAAACGCAAGAGGAAGAGTAGCGAACATTCAAAGGCAAAGTGGACCGTCATGTGATATACCAATCGTTCAAAAAAACATCAAGGTAAAATTTACGCTCTCGAAAGAGGTTAGTAGCTGCAATAAGTGGGCCACGTTTTGTTCTCGAGGCCAAATGTTAGGTGTAAGAAACCCTGAGGTCTCGATCTTGATAGTACATTTCTCACAAAACACCAAAAAATACAAATTGAATGCACAAGTTCAATACAAAATAAAAGAAAACAAAAGTGTGTCCTCTGCTATTACATAGCTGAGAAATGAAGCTAGAGAAAATGCCGAAATCAAGATGTGCGCGGCTAGGAGGCGTAAGGGCAAAGACTCAAGAAAACCGATTTCAAGTAAACTTACTTTTCCTTTTACGCATTAAATCTAATGGAGAAAAAGGAATCGACGCTATGCACTAAAGGGAAGAAACGATGACTCATCTTCTTGACGAAACCTTAAGTGTTCTCCAAAGGTTGATAAAACTACTTTTCCTTCGATCAACGACAAATATAAATGAGTTATGTATGTGAATGTCAGTAAACCAGTTTGTGTTAGCAGATAATGCCTGGTTAGATTAACTAATATGCTTGACAGCAACACGTAAACAATAGGCAAGTAAGTTATTTCCGAACTCACTTCTGTCGATGGGCGCAAAATCTAACAAAGGATGTCGCTCGTCACTGGATGGAAAAGCACAATTTCATTGTGCCGCCTAATAGATGCCAAAATTCCCTTAATTTACTCTCAAACAACTAACTACATCCAGCCTTTAACTTCAGTCCTCCATACTTAGATGGTCTCATCGGACGGACCAACGACCACGTAAGAGTGAGTTCGCATTAGCCAATCATAGGACAAGATCGTCTACTGCTCAGAACTGACCAATGACGTGTGTCGTCTCACTTAAAACGATAAACAAGAGCTTGATGAGAGAAAAACAGCCCAACTTACCACCAGAGATGACATTCACGCTGTAAGAGTCCGCGAAGATGGTCGAGGATGATGTCTTCAATGAGGGAGAATAGATGGCCTTTCATAATATAAACTGTTTGGAGATCTTGTGTTTGTCTATTATGGGAAACTTTATTCAAAGCCTAAAAGGACTCAACTTCCGTTTCGCGTGAAGTAATTTACCATGTGTTGACGTTACCGACTTGTTAGCGTTCAACTACGAAAGCAAAAATTGACATCCCTCCCAAAGGTAGCAACAACGTGAGCAATAAACTGATGAAGAAAAGTATAAAAATACAAGAGAACGAGCCCAATAACGGCAGTATTAAGAACTGCGTCCTTGTAAAACGGACAATTGGATTTTCAAATCAGCCCACCGAATAGAACTGAGACTGAGAGCTCTGAGACGAAACTGACGAAGCATCTGAAATGAAGAGAAAAGTGAAAATTTTGGTCGATTTATACACGAAAACTTTTATCAAAATAGACCGACCACATGAAAATAGCGGCTTTCAGTGTAGGGGAGGATACATGCCAAATCTACGCATTAATAATCACTCATTGACATGGCTTGTTGCGATACCACTTGCAAGTAAGGAAATTCCTCTCGCCCTCAACTCCTCTTCAAATGCGTACGCAAAAGCCCTTCACGCTGAACAGGGTGCATCAAGCTGAAAAAGGGTCCTCTTAGAGATAGTAAGGAACACAATTCCAAATGGTCGATTCGCTACTACAAGAATTTCAAATAGGCTATTCTCATGTCACATTCGAATCCGTCCGTTAATTACACAATCATCCACTTCTTTTGAAGGCTATCCTCGTGGAAACGAAATGAGTGATAGATAAACAGTGTGGAGCCAACCGCTAAATGACAACCAAACATTACACCAACCTATTTATATTTCCACCCGGAAATAACGATGAAGATATCGTGCTTTAACCAAACTCGCCTTTCGAAAAATCGGATTCAAGATACTCACTTGAAGTGCTACCAAAGCATGGAAAACGCTTCACACCTTGTCATTTCTAACTAAGGAAAGTAATCTATTGCAGTGCCGAAAAAGCTCACACCGCTTTCGCGAAGTTTGCTAAAACTATTGCATGTCACTCATAAGAAGGAGGTGCGCCTTACCACCACTAACTGATGCCAATCCATCGCCACGCTGAAGAGTGATGCGCGAAAGTGACTATACCTTGACTGAGTCATGAACCCACTTCGGCTTCAAAGCAATGCAAAATTTTTATCCATTTTCGCAAAAAGGGGTAAAATGCATCATCGCTAAGTGAAGTAGCTGGACTGTGATGGCATATTGACAGGTGAAGAAAAAC